TATTTTTACGAAAGTTTTGAAAATATCGACTGCATTCTGTTAAAGTAACATGGCCGCCACTGCCTGCGAACATGTACTCGCGAAGCCGGACATATGCTTGTGGAAGCATGAAACTTGGCTTATTGTCAGAGCTCTTCTCTTTATGCATACGCACATATAAGGAAAAGGACATAATTAAAAAATCATAATTGGCAAAGGGCGAAACTACTTTCTTCTTGTAGATAGGGTGTACTTAAGGATTTCTTCCTTTTTTGTTGAGAAAAAAAATCAAACGTCTTCAAATCCGCTCTAGCGTAGGTTCCTCTGCACAAATACGTAGGGATATCTCGAACCAGAATTTTGATTAGAAACTGCGTTGTCACCTGTTGCAAAGGTAGCACATGAATTTTTCAGGGCTTACAACACAAAATTTTTCAAAAACTCCCCTTGAAATGTTGTATCTGATGTTTGAGTACGTCCTCAGTATTTGATAGCAGAGACGTGAATTTCAATTTAAAAGTCGTGTAATGGGAATTTTTCAACTACGCCTTTGGATCCGCAAGTGATTTATATCGCACAATGTTTGAGGTATGATAACAGATCATGGCAGTATTTCTTGGTTTTTTTTCTTAGAAAGCATAAATAAATTATTTATTGATTATTACCTTCTGATCAAATATAATAAATATATATGTTAAGTAAACATAGTGTGCGTGATCTTGGACGAATAGTAGCCACTCCTTTAATGAGTTACATAATACCATCTTTAGCATTAAGCAGTCTTCGCCTTGTAACCATCCTCGATGAGCATTGCTGGGGACACATTATTCGTAAGTTTCGGTGTACCGCCGCCACCAGATGGTCCTTTTTTGGCACCATAACCGAAATTCATTGAGTAATCCGTACCAGGTCTACTAATCAATCGATACGCATCATTTGTTTTGAGACCACTCCCGTATCCTACAGAATCTGATGTTGTGTAGGGACTTTGGTATTCGCCGTGCTGATATCCATTCGGTTGGTAGGAGCCTCCGGCATAATTCATTGTCTGTACTGGAGTATAGCCTGATTCATATCCAGACTGCAACGTAGGATTACCGTAGCTTTGAGGAGATGAACCTTGTGAAAATCTTGTTCCTTGATAGTTGTATACATCAGAGTTTGAACCACCGTACTCGCCCGAATAGTCACTATTACCGTAGTTAACGTTTGTTGGTAAAGTTCCAAATGATGATGCTCCAAAGTTGAAAGGTTTGTAAGAGTTCATTGGCTTAACGCTACCTGAAGAGTAACTCCCAAATTGTGCGTTTTGACCATTTTCACTGTAGCCAAGATCAGAACCGTACGCTGGATCATTGTCGCTACCGTAACCGTACTCTTGGTTACCGTAACTACCGTACCCATTTGAAGGCATTTGTTCCACCTTCAGTCCACCATAAC